GTAGTAGTAGTAGTAGTAGTAGTAGTAGTAGTAGTAGTAGTAGTAGTAGTAGTAGTAGTAGTAGTAGTAGTAGTAGTAGTAGTATCAGTATCAGTATCAGTATCAGTATCAGTAGTAGTAGTCGTCGTCGTCGTGGTCGTCGTCGTGGTAGTGGTAGTGGTAGTGGTAGTGGTAGTGGTAGTGGTAGTCGTCGTCGTCGCCGTACCAGTAGTATTAGTAGTAGTAGTAGTAGTGGTAGTAGTAGTTGTTGTTGTTGTCGTGGCAGTAGCAGTAGCAGTAGCAGTAGCAGTAGTAGTAGCAGCAGCAGCAGGAGTAGTAGTAGTAGTATAGTGGTGGCAGTGGTAGTAGTAGTCGTGGTGGTGGTGGTGGTGGAAGTAGTAGGGGTAGGGCACAGCGCTTCCTACTAATCGAAGGCTTCTGGCTGTCACGCTAGGCGAAGGCGAAGGTGGGCTTTGTGGCAGCGTCAACGCAAAGAAGATAGTAGTTGCGGCAACTGTGGTAAGACTCGTAGTGGGGTGGGGTGGTCGGATTGATAGAGGTACCGGTAATGTAGGGGTAGTGGACGGCAGTGGGAACTATTAAAAAAAGCGAAAGGAGGTGCGGGGGAGGGCACAGCGCAGGGCTGCTTCGTTTCTTGATTGGTTTAATTGGGCGTCAGAGCCTGCACTTTCATTCACCTTTGTGGCGCTGACGCAGCTAAGCGAAGGTGGGCCTTATCACCCACCTTTGTGTCAAAGTCAATGCAAAGAAGATAGTAGTTGCGGTAACTGTGGTAAGACCGGTGTTGGAGGTACTGGTAATAGCAGGGGTAGTGGCAACTATTAAAAAAGCAGGAGGGGGTGCGGGGGAGGGCAGTATGTTTTTTTTTAGGTACCTTTTATTGTCCTGTTGCAAAACTCAAATCCAAATCTAGCTCGCTATCAGATTTACGCATTCCTGCGAAGACTTGATGGTTAGATGTCACTATAGTCACTACCAACATGTACAATTCCAGTCTAAATGCAAATTCACAGTTAAAGGTTTGTGCTACAAGTACTTGTTCAAGAATACATCTTCGGAAGGCTGTCTCTATGTTTGGTTACAACAGTAGACTGTTTAGATTGAAAATGATTGAAGCAAATAGAACCAGGTCTGACTCAATTACAGTAATAACATGTACCACCATTAATCAATAACATGAATGACACAAACACATAAAAGACCACAGATTTGAAAGGCTTGCATTCTTCACAGGGTGCCCGTTAGACCTTCTTTGTTCACCTCCACATGTTGTGTTCCTATAAGTGGACCGCCCCCTGAAGACCTACCTGGTTGAAAGAATCAGGTCATGACCTACCTGCTTGAACGACCTGTGATCTCCCCGACCCAAGTGACCCGTTCAACTGGCGGCCCAACAGCATCTTTGCTTCGCCGCTTCGATCCTGAACTCCGCGACCGGTCGACCGGCGGCGACCGAAAACGGGGGTTCACCGGGGTGGGTCTATTGTTGCGCGAAAGCGCCGCGGTATTGGGAGCTGGGTGGGTGAGAAATTATGCCGAGTAGAGGAACTTGGCAAAGATAATATATATTTCAACATGTTTCAGGTATACAGATGTTTCAATATGTTTCAGATAGGAGTCATGTTGTCGTTGTTTTCTAAATACAAAACAAACATCTCTGAAGCCACCACCCAGGCTAATGGGTCGACCCTCAAGAAGTACAGCATGAACCTGCACGGTGGTCGCCCAGGCTGCAACCTGCAACCGTTGTGAATCCCTGCGGCGGATACCCTTGTGATCCTGTACTACAACTCTACTAATCCTCGGGTTGCCACTCTCAGGGAGTCAGTAGGAAGTTTCTGTCAACTGAAAACAGCATAAAACAGCAGGGTTTCTTTGAGCCTCCTCAAGCATCGTTGCCTCTGGGACGGGGACCGGGCGGGGCATGCTGCTGAAAAACATGATGCGTATCATGATTTGGTCAAACAAGTTCTCGCATCAACTCCCAGAAAACAATGTACTGATTGATAAATGCAGAGTTCGACACTGGCACCACATAGGATACCCTGCGTCGACATTGTCAATCACGTAAGTCATGCCAGTCTCATATGCTTGTGGAGAATTTGTTTTCCCTCATAAGCCAGCCACCAGAAAGGGATCCATCTACCTCCACCAACCATCTACCTCCACCAAGACCAAAAAACCACGCGACCCCAAAAAACCACGTCCGGATGCGGGTGCCTTCTGCGTCCGGATCCGCGCCAGCTCCTCACGCGCGATTTGGTTGGCTTCTTTCCGCCGGTCCTGGAGTGGGCGTGAAACAAGTATCAGAAAGCGGGCTGGTGCCTTGGTCCAGGTATGCCCTGGTTGCTTTGCTGATCGTGACTGGAGTTGTGAATCAAGAGCTAAATTGGATTGGAGTGTTTTGCATCACAAGGAGTTGGGATGCGGATGTTGATGCGGATGCCGATGGAGCCAACCCAATCCCTTAGAAGCTGGTTTGGTTCATCTGGGCGTTGGACTTACTCTCGCACGTCTTCTTCTCTCAATTCAGTTTTTTTGTTCAAGCAACCCTATGCCGTATGCGTTTGGATGGTAGCATTTGGTGATGTTGCTGGCTCATCAACCATGATTGTATTCTAAACAATGACAGCATGAGACCATTGCGTCGACCGATTTAAAACATGTAGTGACCTCAAACACGGGGTGTGTGTGACAGCGGCTTTCCAAACCAACCAACAGCGGTTTGGGACTTCGATCCCGACGGGGTCGCTGAAAGTGGAACGGTGCATACACAGCTCCCTGGATTTGGGCCCAACAGCCATGTAAAAGTTGTTTGATTGGAAAGACTTGGATTCCAATGTCCTAAGGGGGACGTCCTTACTCTCAGAATCACTCCAATCAAATGTTTGCAGGAACACAAAGGATGTGGAATCCACAGAAACGTACACATTCACTATCAGTCTTCATCTTGCTAGTGGCCAACGATGTCCTGTGCAGCTGCTGAACGAACTCTTCAGTATATGTATATGAGTCAATCAACCCTCACTCACTGGCCAACAAAAATGCCAAGCACCGATCAACATGAGTCGGTGATAGCTTCCGATCATGAACCATCATATACCGACTATAAAGGCTCAAGTGACCTCCGAGGAAGCCTGGCCAAGCCCTCTATTCACATTCACTATATTAGGCCATCACTACCCTAGCTGCCTTAGCCCTAGCTGCCCTAGCTACCATGCCGATGCCATTCCACCTAATATTAGAGGGTGGCTCCCAAACAACAAGTCAAAGCGCTACAACAAGTCCAACAAGTTCAACAACAAGATTCAAGATGAATCAATGCCCTTTCCTTGAAGCACAAGACGTGGATCTTGATTCGGATGGTGTCTGCTACGCCCGTCTCATCGCCCAACCTGTGCTTGCACTGGGAGAAGCGCGGTCTCCAAGCACCCCGGTCAAGCATTCCGGTCGACATCTGTGTCTCGGTTTGGGTATCTTTGGTTGGTTTCGAAGCAAATTGCGATCAGTCTAATACAGAGAATCAGAACCCGGAATTCAGCCGGACATCGGAAAAATAAGACGTTCTTCGGCTTCAATGGTGTTTGTGTGTGTTTTGTTCCTGGATGGCAAGGGGATGGAAGCCACTTCTTAGAAGGAACTCCACCTTTCGCCGTCTCGAGACTCAGTAGATTCAGTAGATCCAGTTGCTACTGGAAACCACCCTGATCCAGTTTCATCCAGTTTCCACTTCCATGCAAGCGAGTCTAATGTAGACTCTTGATTAATAACCCCCACCAATTAGATTGTCAAACCTTGTCGTATGGTGGGTTTATTCATCAAGAGTCTACGATCGTCTACATGAAGGGTGGTTTGTAGGTCACCCAGGGCTCCAAAACCAAATCAGCCATGGGCCAATGAGAAACAACAGGTTCCTTACTGCAACTGAGATAGGAGACTACGATCCAGCCATGCTGGGGTTGGGAGGCCTGCGAGCCCCAATTTGTTCCAGTTTTGGTGGTGTTCTTCCTTTACGGTCTGAAAAAGGGCTCGCTGCATCAGCAAGAAGACCCTCGCTGCAAAAACTCCTAAGGACGCTCACCGCCCAGACTAGAGTAGTAGAATGGTAGTTTGTTTGCAATTTCCGACTCCTTCACCCATTCTGGGCACGACCCCGGGTCAAAATGAACAGATTCCTCGATGTTCATGGATGTCAACCTGGCATGGTTTGGTTGAATTTTGAGACAGCCATGATTTGGGTGTGTATCTAAAGATCCGGGAGACACCCCCTTTCTCGCCCCTGGCGGGGTAGAGTCTATGGACTCATCTGAAGACTCATCGGCTAATCGCTCCAAGATTGGGCATTGGCGCCCGCGCCGGCCAGGTCGCCCGCGCATGAAAAGAATGTGTTTTTTCACCTTTCTGAGCCTTAATTGGACAACATCAAATGATTGGAATCGTTTTTGAACAAAAAAATTCAGAGTGATTTTGACGTTTTTCATTCAAAAAAACCGTTGTGTTCACCTTTCTTTTCCTCCGCCCATCACGGGCCAATTCTTGCAGCCCCAGAAGCTGGCGAAATCGCTCGAGGGCCTGGCGCAACATGCGGCTCAAATTGGGTCTTGGAGGTCTATGGAAAACCAGTCCCTTTTTTCACCAAACACTACTGCAACTAGTGAGAGCTTGTGAAAGCTTCTTCAGGATTCGTGGGGTTCCACCATCCTCTTGACCCCACATGCTCATCCCGTGATACATGTGGTTGGTAAGTGAAACAAATCCAAGCCGATCCATTGGCATCAGCAAAAAAACGAAGCTCGTCGTGAGCAGCGGACCGGGGCAATGTGGTGTTGCGCGGCCAAAAACACGGACCATCAGCCCTAGCTGACGCCGGCGCAAAAAAAAGGGCAGGTTTAAACTGGCCCAAGAAGGAGAACCCCAGACACCCGACCAAAGGAAAAAGGGCGCTGGGGAACTCAAAGCAAACCCCAGCCCCGTGGGGGAGCCAAAGTGGACACCCCCCGAGGTGGCTCACTGGCCCGGTCTGAAGGGAGTTATGGAGACTCGCTGAGAAGGTCCACGATGGGGCTTCACTCAAGTCGCCGCATGATTGCCCTGGCATTCTCCCGGCGCAACGCAAGGCTCAGGGCCTGTAGCAGGCGCTGCAGTTCCACAGAGCTGCTGTCGCGAGTCGCTGGTCCTGGCAGCGATAGCAGCCGAGAGGGACCTCCACGTCTTCAAAGCAGTGGGCCCCCAGCCTCCCCCACAAGCTTCAACCACAAGGGGAATGAATTGCAGCCCCTCAGTGGCACAGGCCTGCAACGTATCCAAGTGGCGGCACTTCCGAACTTCGTAGTCCATGCCATCAGCGGCGGAAGCGGCAAGGTGGCCTTGCCGCAAGCCAGAAGTGACCGCCACATCGAAGGCGGCAGGACCATGGAGGTTCCAGTTGGCGATCCAAACATCAGCCGGGCGGCAGCCATTTCCACGAGGCAGAGATCCATCTTCGGTGCCCCCGTGGAGCTCCGGCCGCGGAGGGAGCAAGTTCGGTTTCTCAACTTCCGGTTGCAAGCCAGCGGCGCGGGCACGCCCGGCCAGGATGTTGCGCAATTGGTTGTGTCTCTTGACCCTGTCGCCCCCGCAGGGGCACACACGGGCATGGTCCCCGAAGCTATCCGAGGTGCCATCACATAAGGGGCAAGCCATGTCAGAGTCGGCGATGGGCAAGCGGAGCCGCAAGCGGACCATGGTTCGGAAGAGGGGAGTGACCACGTGGAGGCCCAAGGCATCGTTTGGAACAGCGTGGAGCCAAGCCCCCGCCCCTTCTTGCTGCAGAAGTTGGAAATGGGCTCGGTAAGCTTCGCGCCCAGGGCCAGGCGCGGCCAGCTGCGCGATCACGACCCGGTCCAGCGCGCGTGACAACTCTTGTTGCCGAAGAGGGTGCGGGGCTGGGACCGGGAAGTGGTCGGCAGGTGGGAGCGCGAGGTTGACCTGGTGCAAAGCGGCACCCTGATCCTCATCATAGTTGCCATCGATGTCTTTGCACAAGGGCGCGGTGGCCAAGAGTGAAGCCGCGTAGCCGGCAACACTGTGCCGGGCCACGCTCCGTAGACCCAAGCCCCCAGACCTCGTCGAAAGGGCGAGCATCTTCTTCACGTTAAAGATTTCATTAAACACAGCCTGAAGTGCAGCTCTTTCGTCGCTGTCTTTGTAGCCCTTCTTCCAGTGGAGATCTCCAAGACTGGTGGCGTAAATTCCCTCTAGTTCAATAGAACGTTTACTCGCTTTCTTCCTTGCGATTAGTTCAGAAGACATTGGTGGAGGGTGCGTAAAGTCTTCCTGACGCAAGAACACGTCGGGAGCAAAATAGCACGAAATCGCATCCTGAGCACTCAAGTAAATCTCCGGGGAATCGAGGAGCTGAAATGACACTCTGTCTACGGAAGAAAAGAATGGATCTTGCCACTCAAAGATGTCTGCTGTCATCAGTATCGGCAAATCCCTTGATGCCAAATGCCACTCCGATCTCTCTGGGTGAGAAAACGCATAATGCTCAATCTTCTCGTACAAAAGTCTTGCACTCAGCTTAAATTGACACAAGCGAAGGAGTTCTTTTGAATTCACACTGCACATGAACGTAGCAAACATGCTCTTCTTCTGTCCAAACTCCAGGGCCAATTTCTTCTGATCTTCAATTGTCCTCCCTAGGCCCTTCCACAAGATTGGAGACATAGCCGTAATTCCCATGATGTCCATCACATGCTTGGTTTCGCCCTTGAGTAGCTCTCTCGCCACGGTCGCAAAAGTCTCTCTGTGGTTCACATCAACTTTATTTCTCTCAAACTCCAAAATCATCCTTCTCAGCAACTCCAGTCCAAACAACTGTTCTAGGATGCACGAAACAAGTGCAGACCTCGCTGCTGAGTAAATCTTGCGCAGTCGATGAAGTCGTAGAAGAATGGGTTTCATGGCGTCTTTGGGGCGCAATCCTCCTTCAACCTCGCCAAATTGGCTTTCCAACCATGCTTTATCTCGCTTCGGTTCGAAAGGGAGCATTTCACATACAGTAGTTGAAACTGTGGCCATGATCCTCACAAAGTTTGCCTCTAGGTATTCTGCAGCAAAAAATGCTGGACCTCGCGCAAGGGACTCTCTGCTGATCGGATATAGACCTGCCAAGCCAGCTGCCATGATGATTCTTATCATCACTCCTCTGTTGTAGTAGCCCAAGTGAGACAAGACAGAAGCAGAAACTCTGGGCTCACTTGACACCAATGAAAGAAGAGATAGCAATGATTGTGTCTCTCTCTTCTCATCCGATATCAGCGCAAAAGCAATTAGCTTCCACCACCTGATACGTGTGAAGCCGGGGAGAGGGGAGAGGGGAGAGAGGGGAGAGAGGGGAGAGGAGAGAGAAGAGAGAGCA